GCCTGATTTGGAGCAGTCCAAATTATAGTATTTCTTGATATTAAGGACAATCCAACCTCAAGGACAAATTCCAATTTTGACTTGCAAACTTTTTCAGAAAGAAGAACAAATTTAAAATTATGGACTCACCATTTTCAACTGTCTTGACAGGATGTAACGGTAAGTATTATCACTAGAGCTGCACCTATGCATTAATAGTCTGGTTCCACTATTCAGAATTTGACCAAGTTGCTTTCATTTCATTTGACACAATAATATTCTCATTTGAGGAGAGTGAGAATACTGGTAATATTGATATACAACATTTAAATTCCTATTAGTCCATCAAGTTATTTAATATGGTATACCAATATTTTTTGTGATTACGTATATATTTAATTATGATACTTATTTATTTACTATTCTATAGCAAGTATACTTTCTAAACTTCATTCAGAAGTCATCTACAGGAGTTCAGTTTACCCTTGAACATGGATTACTTTCTTGGGTTAGAATAGGTTGTTAGAAAAGATAACCTTCAGTATTCTTGACAAATTCTAAAGAAGAATCTGCAATGTATTGGTCCTAACATAACATCTTCAATGACATTCCTACTACTGCAACATAGCTTCCCTTTGCCCTTTCTATAAATATTTTCAAGGTAATTGTTCCAATTGTGCTTCCCTCATTGCTACCTCAAATTGACAAATTTAAGCTCAGTACTAGATTGATAGGGCTCATAATTTCACTGATGAATTTGTTAATTGTAATTGCATATTCTATGCTAATTGTTTCTTCTTTTGCACTTCTCACTTATGGAACTCTCTTCCGACTTCCTGCTTTGCCATCAACTACAATCTTCAAATATTTAAATGCAATGTTAATCATTGTCATCTGTCTTCTTGAATCCTGTTCTTTTATTGTCATCTCTGATTTTTTCACTTCCAGTAACCACTCACATCTTAGTGTCTATATTGCCTTGCTTGGGGTGGAATGATTAAAAAAAAATTTCATTTTCAGTGCTTGGAAATACAGTGATAAAGAACACTTACTTGTGTTGTAGAAGGTATAATTGAATTACATGGTATTGATAGTGAGTCATAGAATTCTTTATATATGACCTTATGCCAAACATTAAAAAATGAGAAATATTCACTCTTAGTTCAGCAACAAGTATACTTTAAAATTGATTTCAAGTTCTTTAAAATTATGACTTTGTACCCGACTTGGCTTAGTCAAAATAAACAAAAATTTATTCATAATGCCTGGGTAAACATTGAAAAATAAATCAGTATTTATTGGATTCTCTAAAAAAGTAGTGATGCTTAAGTTGTCCTTCACAGATTGATAGTTCATTCGTTCATCGGTTAATGTCTTCAAATACTTGAAGAATGAGTCACATATTTAATTGTAAAATACTTTGTTTCTTTTTTTTTTTTAAATTCTGTTTCAGTTTAGAAATTAAAAAGCATACTTCAATATTTAACAAGATTTTTAAGAATTCTTCTACTATTGAGAACATGGCTGTAGGTCATTGTCTCTTGTTTGTAAAACAAATATTTATTTCAAAGTTAGCTCCAAATTTTTTATATGGCCTTTTCAAATTGTTTATAACCAGATCTTAATGACTAAAGTCTGCTGTATATATATATTCAGAATAATATAATAGTTCAGAATTCAATGAATATAGATGTTTTTTTAGCATTGAATCAAATTTTATTTACAGTTTTTAAATAAAGAAGCCATTGAGCAAAAGCTTTTATAGCATTTAATCTAAATTTGTTATCAGAAAAATTCTGAAAGTTAAAAAGATCTTATGAAAAAATTCATCAATAAGTAATAGAAACTTACATTAGTAGAAATTTTGATTTCCACCTTTTTTACTTTATTATATACTGCTGAAGCAAGTACCTTCTTTTAAAAAAAATATTCAAATTGCATTTTTAAGACAAAGCATTGTTACTATTATACATTGCTTCATATAGACACGAAATTTTCTTTGTAACAGCAATGTCCTCCCCAGGCTTCATTAAATTGTCTATTTAAATACTTTCAGAGAATGTTTACAGAATTGTTTACTTTAATTGTAATTCAGTGTTTCCCAACCTTTTTTCAATCAATACCTCCTTTGGGCACAAACTTTTTTGTCAAAGCCCCCTACCCAAGTGTTCAAATTTTGAATAATATACTGAATTCATCTTTAATAGCAAGATAACACTTAGGTATTAGCACAAAAATAATTTTAATATTGTTTTCTTTTCTATTATAAATGCCAATGATTTAAAAAAAAATGCTAAAAAAATTTTATTTGATGGCTTATCTCAATGTTTTCAGTGTGATGGTTGACTTTGGTGCTTACTGGCTAAGGCTCCTACTCTAGTTTCAATATTGCTTAGAAGTAATCATAGATCTCCTCATTTTGTAATTTGCAGGCAGTTTCTTTGTTTAGTAAGAAGCTGTGTAATTGCGTTGAAACCACATTCAAGTTGAAAAAGCAATGAAGAAAAGTTTCATAGTTTCCCACAGCTTTAGATACCTTTCAGAAATTTCCATTTGTAGCCACTATTAAATAATTTTTGAAAATTTGAAAAAAAAAAAAATTAAGAAATGCCCTCCACCCGCCTTGAATATGTTCACCATCAACCAACCAAATGAAATAAAAAAATCCAAGTCACCCCCTTTCAATATAACAGTGCCACGTTGGAAACATTGGTCTAATTAATTAAAAATATCACTATAGGAAGTGGCTGAATAGCTAAATATATGCTCACAAAACTCATCTACTTACTGGGAAAATCAGGGTTAAATGCCTGCACAGAAATATACATGAAATGTAAATGCACAGGTAAATCGGTACCATAAGTAAGAAGCGAAAAGTGCCAAGAAATTTCATCTATGTCTGGTTTTCTGGGTTGAAGAAATATAATTTACATTTGGACTAAATTTCTTCAACTTGTGCTATTATCAGGTTTCTGCTGTTGTTACCTCCAGCCTTTATCAGTTGCCTGTCGATCCATGTAATCTTCGAATCTTTTATTTAATCTATGGAAGTAAATAGTTCTCGTTCTGCTGTACTTGTCTAGGGATATCTCGTCTTGTTCGTTTTAGTCAACCAATCAGTTAAGTGTCATGCGTAATACATGCTTGGGCGATCATGTTTTTTTTTTGTTTTTTTTTTTTTTCGTTTCATGACTGGCTAGGCAGAAGATTTCCCGTAGGCCGTTTCATCCTGCAGTAGACGTATTGTCAACCAAGGCTATAGGACCCAGTCTGTCCTGCTATTCAACCCATAGCTAAGGGAGAGAAGATATGTATTCATACCTTCTGCAAGGGTATTTGTGCGTAAGTGAATGTAGAACTCGGTTCTCCGGATTCTCATATTCGAGCTGCTATCCATTACGCCACACCAACTGCTTAATTATTCCTCGCCTTGTTTCCACTGAGTCCAAGACGGTAATATCCGGTCCAAGCATTAAACTCACAATTACCATGTCACGAATTCAAGAACCGACGCTGTAATCCACTATTTCTAAGTGAGAAAATAGCCGAGTACTGAAAAGAAAAAGACGGGATGTCCCTAGGGTGGAACGAGAACAATCTACCCCCGTAGATTAAATGAAAGATTCAGTTCGAAATTTCCGGAAGGTTAGACGGATCGTCAGACACCCGAAGAATACCGGAGAGCACAACGGCTGAAACTTTGTAATATTAACAACAAAGGTGAGGATATTATACAGAAAGTGAGTCATCGATGATAAATCTCATCTAGTTCGTTATAACTTGAGAGTTCAATCGCTGGACAGTGCAGATATCTTCTTTTCTGTGTCCCTTCAGGACGTAGGTGATGATGGCTCTCCACTTCCTCCTATCATTTGTAGTTCTCAATATGTTTTGTCCTTTTGCTACTTATCCCAAACCCTGTTCTGTCATCCACTTGCTTAAGCCCGCTAGGCATGTCACCAATTGCTTTCTGTTGTCTCTCTTTCCCTCTATCTGCCTTGTGATTCTCTAAGTCCTCTTTTTTCATTACGTGGCCCAGAAATTTCAGCTGCCTCTTCCTGATGTTATAAGCTTCCTCTTTCTTTGCATCCTCTCCAAAACCTCATAATTGCTCACATGTTCGGTCCATGGTATCCTTAGCATCTTAGAACCGTAGAACCATACCTCTGTTGCCTCGAGTAGAGACAAATTAACACAATAACTGAAAACCGCTGACAAAGCTTTCTATTTTCAAGGTGATAGTTCAATTCCAGGTCAGGGAGTAAAGAAATATAGGTTAGCATTATCGAGAGGCAAATCAGCATCACCAGGAAGAAATGAAAAGTGTAAAATGCCGATGAAGCTCATTCTGTTCTTTAGTAGGTAAGAGTTCATTACCGAATTAGTGCAGGAACATACCTTAACTCAATCGAGAGGCACAAGAAAAAAATAAATTCCAAACATAGCTTATCTAGTTTCTTCTTATTTGAGAGTCCATTCCCTGATTAGATGGTGCAGAAATATACGTTAGTTCAATCGAGAGGCCGATCAGCATCGTCAGAAAAAGAAAGGTGCCGATTAAGATGATCATATTACTTGGCATTTGGGACACCACACAACGGATTAACGGAAAAATATGAAGTGCTATCAAATTTCCTTTAATTACTTTTTAGTTGAGATTTCATTCCAAAGTATAGATAGTGCTAAAATATACGTTAGCTCAATTGAGAGGAATAATAATACTATTATAACGAAAGAAAATAAAACGGGCTAAAAAAGCATATCTAGTTCGTTCATACGTGAGAAGTGGTATTGTTAGTTTTTACCGTTTATCAACCATTTGAAGGTTATTTAAAGCCAGAGAATATTTTTAGATAGAAAGAATTCTTTTTTTTTTTTTTGAGATTAGTAATACAAGTCATACTAATTAACCCAAGGATATTTGCGCGTAAGTGAATATAACGAACCCAACTAGAATTGGAACTCAGCTCTCCGATTACAAATTCCAAGCCATCATCTATTACAGCACCTGTATATTCAAGCTTACAGCACCCGGTATTCCCAAGTAGTCACCCATCGAGGTGCTAGCCAGGTTCGACGTCGTTTAACTTCGGTGATCATACGGGAACCAGTGATTCAACGAGATGTGGCTGTAAGTCCCCGAAAGAGATAGTAAAGATATATACGTTGGCTCTATCGAAAGACATATAAACCCGATAAGGAAGTGGTAAGTGCTAACAAAACTGCCCTATTTCCTTGAAATCTGAACGTTTATTTGTCCGATTAGATAGTGCATCAATCGAAAGGTATCAATCGACACCATGAAGAAGAAATAAAATGTGCTGACAAAGTTCCTGCATTTCTTTCGTAATCGAGAGAACATTCACCGACTAGTGCTCTGACGAGCTTTATTCCCTAGTGCCCGGATAACGTGTGTTTAAGCGTGCTACTAGATTGGCATCTACGTTCCACCCCTTTTACTGTGGAATTAGGTAAATGCCAACCTACACTTCTACCCCAACAGTTTCTTTTCTCGCATTTCCTGCTTATGGAAATCCCTTTCATTTTCCATCTTCTATCTTCTTGAATCCTGTTCAGCTTTTATCATTTCCTCGCCCCCCCCCCTCAATACCCAGTCTTTTCTCTCAGCTTCACTCTCTGTAACCCCCTGCGTACTAGTGGCATTCCTGCCTTGCTTGGGGTGAAATGATTAAAAAAATAGATAGTGCAGTAATGTATGTTGCATCAATCGAAAATCAAATCAGCTTCATAACGAAGAAATAAGCGCTAGCAAAGTTCATCTACTTCATTGAAATTTGAGCGGTTTTCAATTTGAGCCAGATTAGACAGTGCAGGAATATATGTTAGCTCAACCGAGAGGTAAATCAGCACCATAAAATAGAAATGAAGAGTGTTGACAATATGGTAGGTGAACGTTCAATTCCCGGGATTAGAATGGGGCAGCCAAATAAGGGAGTTCACTCGTTAAGTCAACACCATAACGAAGAAAAGTAAAGTGCTAACTTGGCTCATCTTGTTCCTTGGTACGTAAAAGTTAATTCGTAGGATTAGATAGTTCATGAATATAAATTAGATCAATCAACAAGCAACTCAGCATCATACGGAAAAAATGAAAAGTACTCTCAGAGTTCTTCTAGTTACTTCTTAGTTGAGAGTTCATTCCCGGTTTTATATAGTTCTGAAATATATACTATCTCAATTGAGAGGCAAATCAGTATCACAACAAAGAAAGGTTAAATGCTGACTTAACTTCCTACTTTCTAGGAATCTGAGAGGCTATCTGTCTGATTATATTTTGCATAATATACGTTAGTTATATCCAGATTTAAATCAACACCATAAATAAGAAATGAAAAATGGCTGACAAAGCTTATCATGGAAGATGAGAGTTCATTTCCGGATTAGATATGTAGAAATGTAAGTTCGCTCAATCGAGAAACACCACAAAGAAAAAATAAGTGTTGACAAAGTTCGTTTAGTTTTACTTCTTAACTGAGAGTTCATACTCAGGATTAGATAATGCAGCAATATACGTGAGCTCAGTCGAGAGAAAAATCAACGCCATAAGGAAGAAATAAGTACTGTCATAGTCCATCTAATTCCTTCTTCGTTGACATTTCAGTCCCAGATTAAATTGTGCTGAAATATACGTTTGCTAAATCGAGAATAAATCAGGCTCCATAACGAAGAAATAAAATAATGTCGATAAATCCCAAATAGTTCCTTGGTAGGTGTGAGTCATTCCCCCGCATTAGAGTGTGTAAAAATGTTGCTTAGTTCAATCGAAATGCAGATCAGCACCATAATGAGAAAATTAAAAATGGCGACAAAGTTCATTTTATTATTTGATAGATGAGAGTTTATTTCGTGAATGAGGTTTACGTTACCTCAATCGAGAGACAATTCAGCACTATGACGAAAAAATAAAAAAAGAAGTACTGATAAAGCTCACTTAATTCCTTCATAGTTGAAAGTTAATTCGACCGGTTAGATCAGTGGTTGCCAAACTTTTTTTTCTTCTCTGGGCCACATTTTCGGAATTAAAATTTGCTTGCGCCTCACCAAATTTTATGTGATAAAAAGTAAATTTAAAAATTTGAAAAAAAAAAAAAAAAAAAAAAACGAGTGACGGTTAAAGGGAGATAACTGGATTCGAAGTCAAAACATTATCATTGATAACTCTCTCCTCCAATTTACAGAACCTAGTTACTATAATCTTAATACTTGATATAATGCAAAAATATCACAATGATAAAATTGGTCAGTAATTATTTATAACTGTTTATACTAGGACACATGAAAGGCAATTACAAGTAATCCATAATAATGAAGTTTTTGAAACTGTTTCTAAATATTTGATCGTCTTTCAATCATTCCGCCTCACCTGCTATCCTCTTTCGCCCTCACCATTTGGGAACGACTGGGTTAGATAGTGCAGAAATATATATGATCATTCCACTGTGTGCCAAATCAGCTCCATAACGAAGAAATGAAAAATTGCTTTCAAATCTGATCTAATTCCTTCATAGTTGAGTGTTCATCTTCTGGATGAGATAATGCAGAAACATACGTTAGCTCAATCGAGAGACAAATCAGCACCATGAGGAAGAAATGAAAATTGCTGACAGAACTCATCTTGTTCCTTGATATTTGAATAAGTCCTTCGACAGATTATATAGTACAGAAAAATATATGTTAGTTCTATCGGAGGCAAATCAGCTCCAATAAGGAAGAAATGAAAACGTGCTAATAAATCTGTTCTAGTTCCTTCGTTATTGAAAGTTTAGACTTAGTGCAGAAATATATGTTAGCTCAATCGAGAAGCAAATCTGCACTCTAAGGAAGAAATGAAATGTACTGGCAAAGCGCATCTGGTCCCTTCTTAGTTTAAAATTCATATCATGGATTAGATTTTGCAGAAATAGCTCAGTCGAGAAGTAAATCAACATGATAAGCAAGAAATGGAAAATGCTGACAAATCCTTCCAGTTCTTTGGAAATTGAGAACTGAATCATTTGTAAAACAATTTAGGAATATAATTTTAGCTTCATGGCGTAGTAAATGAGCCCGATAAGGAGAAATGGCGATTTCTCTAAAGTGTCATACTGAACGTATCATGTATGGAAATAAAAAGAGCTTTCCTCCTAAATGTTACACCAAGGACTCTGTCCGACATTCCGTGATGATTGTTACAGAGAATTAAAAAAATATGGAGGATAAAGGAGCGAACATATTGGGAAAGAAATGGATGACAGAGATTCACACTGATATCTAGATTTTGATTTGCCTCTGATTTCATGTTCGTGTTTTCATGACATTCACAAACGTGCAAATAACCTCGGGAACGGTATGAATCCGTCTCTTCTCAAACCCCATATATGGATTAAATAGCGGCACAGAGTAGGTCCTAGAGCCATGTGTGGCAACCGGTCTAGGAGAACAAAAACTCTGAATTCAATCTAACTATGGATTAAATAGTCTCAGCAACCCGCAATTGCCCAACCGTAGGGAGTATGGCTATACACCGAAAGACATGGTCAACAAGTGTGAGAAGACCTTAGGTTTGGAATCGGATTTTCAACAAATATTAATTCAAAATGTACAAATATCACAATGATAAAATCGGTCAATAATTATTTATAACTATTTATATTGAGATTCACGCATGCAATTTCAAGTAATCCATAATAATATTTTAAATTTTGAAATCATATTTATTTTTGGCATATGAAGTCTTTGAAACTGTTTCTAAATCACCAATATTATAACTGAAAAAATTTAAAACCTCACAGAATCTTTTTATTTTATTTTACGACCAATGGATTTTGTAAACCTAATAGATACATTTTGTATATGAATCAGTCGCTTTGCAATCCTTTGGAAAATATAAATGAGAGTTAACAGTTGAAAGGTTTCGAGATAAGGCCCAAAATGTGTGAAATAATCTGTGAGAAGGTGGTATAAAAAGCAAACAATCGTTTCAAACCTTGGAAAAGCAAGCGGTATTTTATTGCCAAAATCAACCATTAATTTTGTCTCTTTCTTCATCCAGACCAGCTGTTCAGGTATTCCCAGATGTGAATAAAGAAAAGAAACTTGTAGATAAAATTTGTAAATATTTCAGAAACAATTCATATAGGGTAAAAAAGAAACATTAAATAAAAACGCAGTATATCAAAGAGAAAAGAAATTTCGAAAAATTCAAGAAAAGCTAAAACTGGATAGCCGAAAAAGAGAAAAAAAAATTTTCAAATATGAAGGCAGAATGTAATCACACAAGGAAATGGAGTATATATCACAATTACACAACTCCAAGAAATAGTTTGAGTGTCACCATATTTAAATCCACATGTACACATTTAAATATTTGTCAATATAAATGTATATATAATACCTACATGTATATATATATATATATATATATATATATATATATATATATATATATATATATATATATATATATATATATAAAAAAACAATATTTTTATACAAGAAAATACAGTAGAATATATATATATATGTATATAAAAGTAATTATTGGACAAAAACGTTAAAAAATATGAAACTCTGTGTGCGTGATATTGTAGAATATAAACAATAATAAAGAGGGGGACATATTCAAGCAACCATAAGCTTTCTCAGGTATATATATATATATATATGTGTGTGTGTGTGTGTGTGTGAGAGAGAGAGAGAGAGAGAGAGGTAACGATATCTATTTTTATATATCAAGAGCAATATGGGGAAAAAATGTATTACAAAGTGGAAAAGGTTTATTTGTGACGCGTTTCGTTCTTTAGGACTTCATTGGACTAAATTTGTTATGTACACATGCACACGAACCAGGCATGCTGGGAATTTAAAAAAAAAAAATAAAATAAAATTTAAAATTTGCAGCATCCCTCTTTCGTACGCATGTGCAGTTGCAGCAACATAACAAATTGAACAAGGAACGCGATATTCATGCTCAGAATGTTATCAGAAAGAGCGATACAAATGCAGAAGGACGTGTACCTATGTTCAATAGACTACGCAAATGCTTTCGACAAAGTATGCCACAAGTATCTGCTAAAACTTCTCAGCAATCTTGATATATTCGGGAAAATATCAGAATAATCAAGAACCTATA